TCCGTTACTCCTCAACACTGCTTATAGTATCCCATTCTCATAAATTCTGAGTGGTATTGTCATGATGGAGAAGTCGAGCACCTTCAAAACCTTTAGTCTGTGTAGTGAGCCAAGCTCAGTACTCTCGTTCACGTTCTTTCAACTTTCCCTTTTTTTCCGTCTTCCCTCCAACATGTTGAATGCAGCCATATTAATGTGGAGGGAATGTGAACGTGTCAGTGCGATGCACACGGGCCATCGGCGTGGCTTAGGGGGACGGATGGCAGACGCATCTTAACCAGCCTGATTGCTCACAGATCAGTACCTAGCAATGAAGCAGCGACTGCTACACACCAGTGTCTTTGAGCTGAGATGAAGTGAAGTGAGACACACAACCTGCTCCTCAGAAAGGCTGAGTGAGCAGCTTTACCACAGGCTGTTGCTCTGTGAGTCACTGTCAGCTAAAATTTAGGAACATTTTTGCAAACTGATGCATTTTTCTTACTTGGTAAGCTGAATGTTATTGTGCTTATTGAAATGTTGTTTAAACGATGTCGTGCATAATAAGTATTTGGGAGGATTAGTATTGATGGTTGCATAAGTGCCCACATATCATGACTGGCTGTAATGTTGTGTTAAAGTGTAGCTTAAATGTTTCTTGGCGAGTAGAAGTGCTCGATGGGTAAACTTGTGCATATGTATACAGCTGTTTTAAAATAACAAAGCTGCAGAAACTTCTGGAATCGCCACTGTTTCAGCCATGCTTCTCTGTAAAATCTGTTTTTCATTGGAGTCAACAGTAGAGCCAAAAACCCTCATAGCTACTGACACACAGAGGAGAAATGGCATTCATCACCTGAACTCTGAGTTCAGCAGCCTTGTTGGTGACGCCTGTGAGCAGGTAATCAGTCATTATCTAAATAAACAGGCAGAGAGCCAGAACCTAAATTTACTGCACAGACTCACCAAAAGTTTCCAGAATCTAATGAAAAAGTTTGGCAACTTTTCCCAGACTTTGCCTGCAAGTCATGTGTGAAGTTTTTACAACAGTGCGGCTTCATCAGCAGCTCAGTCCAGAGTTACTGACCCTCCAGAGCACTGAGCAAATACCACATTTATCTATGACTACTGCAGCCCAGCAAACAAAAACGTAGTTGCTCAACTCTAAACACAGACTGGGATGAGTGCACATGTCTGCCGCTGTGCAGCTGACACTGTCGTAAACCTTTACTCTGACATGCATCTCTGCAACAATGCCAAAAAGTATTTGTCCCTTGCCTTGTTTATTTATTTTTGCATATTTTTCACA